ACGACTGCATACCGCAGAGTGGCATAGCATGTACACACGCAAAAAAAAAAATCCCATATGACAGTTCAATTTCGTTGAAGATGCACTACAAAGAACAAAGAAAAATGGAATAGTATAGGTGCATGATAACTGAGAGAATGCATGAACTTTCGTACTTATGCCATTTATGTACAAACAATTTAGTTCGCGAGGCCGTGGATTGTCTGCGTAGAGTGTGGCATTCAGGAAGATGTCCCGTCTATGCATTGTGCCCTGGGCACTTTGTACGTTTCAGTAAAGAAGGAAAGCGCGAGCGAACAGATGTGTCGCATGTGTAGAGACACAAGCGAAAGTACGAGAGAGCTGCGGAAACAAAAGAAAGAAAGAAAGAAAAAAGAAAAAAGAAAGAAAGAAAGAAAGAAAGAAAGTAAGAAAGAAAGAAAGAAAGAAAGAAAGAAAGAAAGAAAGAAAGAAAGAGTTTCTTGGGAAATAGAGGAGGCAGTGCATCTGCATGGAAGAGAATGGCTGGTGCATTCGTGCTGAAACGTCGAGGTCCAGGTGTCGCGAATGCATAAAGGGTATTGCCGAGCAGGCAACTTCGACTTCATTTACAAAGAAATTGATATTCAGAGTGCGAAGTGCTGTCGGTGGAATTCGAATCACCGTGCCCTCAATATTCGCTTCGCGCATCCCGGCAACGCAACTTCCATCTCGCCTCTTCGACACACGGTATTTTTGGTAGTACACACGGTATAGCCAAGGGGTGTCATCCCCCTCCCCCAGCTGCCTTTTCTTGTCCTCTGCATGGTCACCGAGTCTGTGTGCAAGCTTGCGTCGGCGTTGTATATGCGGGCGTACTACGTGCATCGAACTCGTTACCTCCGCAGGCTGTTGCATCCAACAGTGTGCCGCTGACAAAATACACACACACACACACACACATTGCGGTTTCGATTGCGTAACTCCACTCCTTCACGATTGCACGACAACCCCGTTTCCGGACGCGCCGAAGCGCACTTGCCGCCGTTGCGTACGTATACCAACTTGCGGGATGTGCCGTTGGCGGTGTCGCATTTGCACATTTCCACATTTGCACGTTTACACCTTCATTTGTCTGCGTCACCGCTGCAAGTGCGCTGCCCCGTTCGATTGCGCTTTCGCGATTCGCTCCATTGATGGGTCTCACGTGCTAGTTGTTTTCCCAGAGCCCGTCCGTCGATCGCGACTGCTGGCTCGCCACCTCTCCCCTGAACCCGTAAGAGAAACGTTAGCTTGACACCATACCCCCCCCCCCCCCCCCAAAAAAAAAAAAAAGAAGGGATTCAAGTGTAAGGCTTTTTGTTGACGCACAAGTAGCAAGATTGGCTTTTTTTAATACATACACAAGGCACGCGAATAAGAGACAAGCAGGTATAACGTGTCCTCCGAGCGCTCCGCGCCAACCTTTTTGGATTGCATTCGGAAAAGTCTTGTCGCGAACACAACGGATGAGTCTGTGCCAGTTATCATTATTTCTGCGTGCTTCACGCGCGCTCTCTGCTTCCTGGAATTGGCGACAGCATGTGTGGTTCAATGTATACGGCTTGCTTGCGGCGTTTACATTAGTGTCAGCCTGTATAGAAGCTACGCTGGCGGTTGCGACCATGTCATGCGGAATGACGCGGCACTGGAGATGGACGGGCTGTCCATCTAATCCGTTCTTCGGACATATTCAGCGAAATGTGAAGTGTTGTTTTTATAAAAAATAATTGTTGGTAGTTGTTGTGGTAGTACTACAATTCGCTCGTTGTTGTTGTTTTTTTTTTTACAAGCTTTAAAACTATGTATTGACGTTGTACTAGAGTGTACGAGAATCGTGATAAGCTCTGTTTTTTTAAGCTTTATTCTATCTGTGTGACCAGTTGTAATACTTTACCAAAAGTACGATTATGTAAAACTATTTTGTAAAGCTTTGTATCCTGTCGCGTGCTCTCACGAAGAAAGTGTCCTCCTAGGCCCCATCAAGCTGCTTTTCTTTTGTTCTTTTGTTGCGACGTTTGGTCTAGAAGCCAACCCGTAACTTTTTTCGTTATTATATTCGAGTAAATAAAGAGAATTGAATTGAATGATTGATTGATGTGTGGGGTTTAACGTCCAAAAACCACCATATGCTTATGAAAAACGCTGTAGTGGAGGACTCCGGAAATTTCGACCACCTGGCGTTCTTAACGTGCACCCAAATCTGAGCACACGGGCCTACAACATTTTCGCCTCCATAGAAAATGCAGCCGCCGCAACTGGGATTCGATCCGACGACCTTCGGGTCAGCAGCCGGGAATTGAATGAAATCACTGCTTTTGACAAGATAAGAATTTTCAGTCAAGCCGCACTAACTGCACTGAGACAGACGCGTGCACGAGATAATGTCATTGTTGGGATCAATAACTAACCGTTTATGCAAGGGACTACTCGAGCGTTGTTCTATGTGTACAGATAAAACTTCAACCCTAACTACGTCGGTTACGACATGGGACCTCGAGGGAAAATCGGGAAGGCTCCACCCTATACCGCCAGACGACGCCTTAGCTTCGTTTTCCTCTCATTTTATACTTATAGCAGATGTGTCCTTTATTATTCCAGATGATCCTGAACGGAGGCGTAGAAAGATGACCATGTTATTTCATGCCTGGAGAAATCCTGCGTGAATCAAGGCAGAAAGTGCAGATTATAACTTGAGCAGATTCTAAGGTTCTCGTACTAAAATTGAGGTGAGACTGTTAGCGCAGTTGGGGAACTCCAGATTCATTTTGACAATCTGTTTTTTTTATTTAACTTGCATATAAATAGAAGCAATTGAACGGGTGCTTTTGCGTTCCACCCCCATTAGAATTTAGCTATCATTGCCAGAATGGAGCACATGTCTCCAAGCACGACGGTGCGAAATTCGAACACAAACAGAAAAAGGAGAGAAGAAGAGAGCGCATAGTTGTCCGAAGATTTACCATACTTTATTTTGTATATTCATCATCATCATTATAATCATCATCATCAGCCTGACTACGTCCACTGCAAGACAAAGGCCTCTTACATGTTCCGCCAGTTAACCCGGTCCTGTGCTTGCTGCTGCCAATTTATATCCGCAAACTTCTTAATCTCATCTGCCCACCTAACCTTCTGTCTCCCCCTAACCCGCTTGCTTTCTCTGGGAATCCAGTTAGTTACCCTTAATGACCAGCGGTTATCCTGTCTACGCGCTACCTGCCCGGCCCATGTACATTTCCTATTCTTGATTTCAACTATGATATCCTTAACCCCCGTTTGTTCCCTAATCCACTCTGCTCTCTTCTTTTCTCTTAAGGTTATACCTACCATTTTTCTTTCCATTGCTCGTTGCGTCATCCTCAATTTAAGCTGAACCCTCTTTGTAAGTCTCCAGTCTCCAGGTTTCTGCTTCGTAGCTAAGTACCGGCACGATACAGCTGTTATATACCTTCCTCTTGAGGGAGAGTGGTAATCTACCTGTAATAATTTGAGAGTGCTTGCCAAATGTGCTCCACCTCATTCTTATCCTTCTAGTTACTTCAATCTCGTGGTTCAGCTCCGCGGTTATTACCTGCCCTAAGTAGACATAGTCTTTTACAACTTGAAGTGCACTATTACCTATCTCGCAGCGCTGCTCTCTTGCAAAGTTGTTGTACATTACTTTCGTTTTCTGCAGATTAATTTGAAGACCCACCTATCTGCTCTCCTTGTTTAACTCCGTAATCATGAGTTGCAATTCATCCCCTGAGTTACTCAGCAATGCAATCTTATCGGCGAAGCGCAGGTTACTAAGGTACTCTCCATTATCTCTTATCCCTAACTGTTCACATTCTAGGCTTCTGAAAACCTCCTGTTAGCACGCGGGCAATAGCATTGGGGAGATTGTGTCCCCCTGTCTTACACTCTTCTTGATTGGTATTCTGTTGCTTTCTTTATGAAGCACTATGGTAGCAGTTGATCCCCTGTATATTTCTTTCAGGATGATTATATATACTTCATCGACGCCCCGATTCCGCAGTGTCTGCATGGCGGCTGATATTTCTACTGAATCAAACGCCTTCTCGTAATATATGAAGGCTATGTATAGTGGTTGGTTATATTCTGAGCATTTCTCTATTACCTGATTGATAGTATGAATGTGGTTGATTGTCGAGTAGCCTGTTCGAAATCCTGCTTGTTCCTTTGGTTGATTGAATTCTAATGTTTTCTTTACTCTGTTAGCAATTACTTTTGTAAACAGCTTGTATACTACAGAGAGCAAGCTGATCGACCTGTAATTCTTCAAAACCCTTGTTATCTCCTTTCTTATGCATTAAGATGATGTTAGCATTCTTCCAAGACTCCGGTACTCTTCCCGTCACCACGTGAACAGGGTGGCTAGTTTTTCTAACACAATCTGTCTTCCATCTTTCAGCAGATCTGATGTTACCTGATCCTCACCAGCAGCTTTGTCTCTTTGTATGCTCTCCAAGGCTTTTCTGACTTCTTCTATCATTACTGGTGGGGTGTCATCTGGGTTACGGCTAGTTCTTATAGTATTAAGATCGTGGTTGTCCAGGCTACTGTACAGATCTCTGTAAAACTCCTCTGCTATTTTAACTATATCCTATCCATATTGGTAGTTATTTTGCCTTCTTTATTCCTATGTGCATACATCCGATTTTTCCCTATCTTAAGTTTCCTCTTCACTGCTTTGAAGCTTCCTCCGTTTTTCAGAGCGTGTTCAATGCTCTCCATGTTATACCTTCTTACATCGCATACCTTACGCCGATTAATCAACTTCGAAAACTCTGCCAGTTCTATTTTGTCTGTTTGTCTGTTCTATTTTGTATATTCGCTTTCGTTTAATTTCTCGGGTCTTACGAATGTCAATCTTCGAGAGGTCCGCCTGGTGTGTCGAGCTGTATACCTCATGCTCTCACGCTTTACTATTGAACACGACACAACTAAATCAATCGCGCATCTGACGTGAGTTCTCTTGTTTTCTTGCTTTCTCGCAGGAAGTACCCGTTTTACTACAAGTGCCGGGGTATCAGTGCCAAGCGCTCATATGTACCATACAGCAAGTGAGTACCGAACTCGCTACTCGCGTGTACATTTCGCATGTGTAACACTTCAGAGATCCACGTGACGAGCATTTTCGCTCAAATGCTTGAAGTAAAAACATCCAAACTTGAAGTCTTTTAAGCATTTCGCTATCGACTCTCTATAGAACTGGGGTCATGCCTATACCGTAGAAATATATCTGTCTCCACACTTAAGCATCTCTATCTCTATTTTCTAGCTCTCGAGCAAAAAAAAAATAGAAGAAGAAGAAATACATTCGACTGGAGGGCACGCCTTGCTTCGCTTGTTACGAGATATTGATTTAGCCGAAGAATCACTGCTCTGCATATTAGCAGTATTGTTCTCATGCTTCAGTTTGGTGCGCTTGCTGCACCAAAACGCCTGGAGGTTCATGAACCTTGTCGCTACTAGGATTGCTTTATTGTGCTGTGATAATCAGATTGCACACGCACCGCGAATTGCGGTACAGAACTCGAACTGACAGACGCACACATACCGCTCTGAAGTTTACCCATAGCATTTACATAGGGCAACGAATGGGCTTTGGCATTCAGGTTCAATTGAACAATCAACTACTTCCCTCACCTAACTGCTATCTCGGTTTTGTTTTTAGTACAATAAACAAATATTTTCAGGTGTCACCTATACGTATAGTGGCTTTTCAATACGGGTTACTGTGTTCCTTTCACTACCATGGAGACCATGTTTTGTAGTATATTATTGGCCGAAGAGGAAAACATTTTCCCGTGCGGGTGTTCTGCGCTTAAAGCTACTTTCAGAAAGACAAACTATTGCAATAACCGGCGGCGCCTATATATGTGTGAATTCTGCTGCAGTAATGTGGCATAAATATTGTGGCTGAGGGAAGAAGCACAAAACGAAAAGGTCGCTATTTTCTACATGGCTCAGCGTCTTTAGGGGTCGTGAAGAAGGGAGAATATAAAGTAGAAATAAACGGAAGGAGAAGTTAGTAAGGAATGAGTAGCATGGCAAGCGAGTATCTTATCTGTGCAGGTGGGAGCGCAAAGCAAAGGCATTCCCATGGTAGGCGTACCGTTTCTTAATTAAGGTTCATTAGCTGTCGTGGGAAAGTTATAGCTGAAAAGGACGTTACAGGAACGCTTAGCATACTTATATAGAGCGTTAATTCGCAGGCACTCGACTGACGTCACTCACATCAATATTTTTTTCTTTTTTTTTACCCAGAGCTGAGCCAGTGTCTCTGAAGGAGCTGTACAACGACGAAGACGAACCCAAGAACAGGCAGAAAACGCCGGTAAGTTCTAATCTGCGCCGCCAGCACGAAGTTCGTATTATAATAGGGCACAGCCTGGTGGGTATGAGCTCTCTATAATTGCCTATATATAGTGTTTAGCTCTTGGTACCCGTTTGCCCTTATGTGATTATTAAGTCTTGTGGCCTAATCTCCATGCATACGTGGTTTTCGTTTACAGTCGTAGGAAGGCCCTTGCGTGTGAAGAAACTCCAGAACTATAGTACAGGGCCACCGAAACATACGTGGTAGAACATTTATGGCTTATTTATTGATTTCCTTCCCTATCCTGCCTCATCTTTTCACTACCCTGTCCCATTCTCTCTGCGTTTCATAGACAACTGGACATGTTTCTGGCTAACCTCTCTTCCTACTATCTTTTGTTTTCTTCAATCTCTCATTCCAGTGTTAAATGTACCGTGACTACTGTTCGTGCGACATCCCAACAAATACCGTTGCGTAAAATTCATGCATATTTCGAATAGTTCTCAACAGACGATGAGGCCCGTGTGCAAAGCTATTGATTCATATGTGGAGTTTAACGTCCCAAAACCACCATATGATTATGAGAGATGGCGTAGTGGAGGGCTCCGGAAATTTCGACCACCTGGGGTTCTTTAACGTGCACCCAAATCTGAGCACACGGGCCTACAACATTTCTGCCTCCATCGCCGTGTGCACAGCTAGGTGGATAGAAAGGTGCATTGGTGGTCCTTTGCATTGAGGACTTTTTAAAAGCCGTAAACATAGGAAAGACAAAAACAAGACGAAATAAATAGGCTGTAGTGAACAATACGCGACGACCACGAAGCTGCCAACAAATTAACTAACGGCTTTAGTGCCCGTCACCCGAGCTAACCTTGCCTATATTTTGGCCCCTTGAAGTCCCTGGTCGTTCCTTCCCATTCATACGTGAATAAATCACTCGACAACGCCTACTGAACAATGCGTTTACTTAATATTTACATCATCCTCCTTGTGCGCTATATTATCTCTGGCCTCTCTGTCTTTCGACCCTTGTTTGTGATGAAAAATATCATTGATACGACACGGACACGTCCTATATCGCAGTGACTACATCACATACCCCACTAATCTCGACGCCATATTTTCATTGAGTCAATGGTCCACATAGAGTCCAATCAATCTTTAATAAAAAGTAATCATTCTGAAAGGCATCGCAACGTATATATTCTGTTGCAATCTAATCAACTCTTGTTATCGTATTCCTCAGCTTAGCTGACGTTATCAGGACGCATTACGTCATCGGAGCTATAGAAGGTCTAAAATTGCACGTTCGTGGCACCAATCCTCTCCTCGCGCTCTATCGTGTTCTCATTTACGAAAGTAACATCTACTTTTCTTAAATGTAACACTTCATAAGATGCCTTGCAGTGTGAACTTGTATTTTAAATGACATTTACCGTCTATCTATCTATCTATCTATCTATCTATCTATCTATCTATCTATCTATCTATCTATCTATCTATCTATCTATCTATCTATCTATCTATCTATCTATCTATCTATCTATCTATCTATCTATCTATCTATCTATCTATCTATCTATCTATCTATCTATCTATCTATCTATCTATCTATCTATCTATCTATCTATCTATCTCAACTGGTGATTTCCTGTCACAGGAGTCGCGATATTAGATATTAAAATGATTTTATAGTGCCTTTATAGATTCATAAATTGTTATACCCCTTCCCCTTGCTTTTTGTAATAAACCTGTCTCTTTCTTCTCTACATCTATTTTCAAGATCTCGTATTCCTTTCCCAAGTGCCGGTTAGTGTACCAGCTTTTCTAGACTAGCTAACACGCCTGTCCTTCCTCTCTCTCTCTCTCTCTCTCTTGTTTCTTTCTTTCTTCCTTTCAACCACTCAACTGGCTATCTTCTTTGGTCAACCTTCTGCCCCTCCGTGGTGGTGTAGTGGCTAAGGTACTCGGCTGCTAACCCGCAGGTTGCGCATGTAAATGAGTGACAAAATGGCGTACAATTTGTCTATATATCCTGTTTATTCGTCATAAGCATTATGTTGTGTTGAGTTGTGAATTTCTTTTTGCCTTTGTCATTACCGCTTTTTGGTATAGGATCTAACCCGAAGTTGGCAAAGACGAGGTCTTTTCAGGTTCCAATGGTGGTTGTTGGTTGTTTCCAGTCTTATGAAATGCATCGTACAGCATATCGAGGTATCATATACTGCATGAGACGGTCTTTGTGCGTGATCCTCATCGTCATCATCATACGTCATCGCCATCATCATGGCGTATAATGGGTACCTTGCATGTTCTCCGTAACGGCCAATTAAAACGCCAACGCCGCCAACAGGCAAGCCTTTATCTTAAGAAGCTTCACCCCTAGAACTAAAAAAGAACTTCTTTCTACGATTTGCCTCTGAAAGACAGAAGCTTTCGGACGCATTACGACAATTGGACGATCGGCCACTCTCTGTGCAGATGCTACTGGAACACCCTCATCGCCTTTCGTCGGCTCAAAAAGCACTCAAAGCTGTCTTGTGCTTTTTGAGGACTACAGGCCTATGTGACCACCTTTAACTTTTGTGTAGTGCCACCGCTGCATACGCGCCAGCCGATTGACTGACAATCCTCCTTTTCTCTCTCTCTCTCTCTCTCTCTCTCTCTCTCTCTCTCTCTCTCTCTCTCTCTCTCTCTCTCTCTCTCTCTCTCTCTCTCTCTCTCTCTCTCTCATATTTATGCCCCCTTCCTATTCCCCCAGCGTAGGGTAGCAAACCGGGCATGTGCCTGGTTAACCTCCCTGCCTTCCCTCTTGTTGTTTATCCCCCCCCCCCCCTTTCTACGTTGTAAGACTATATTTCGATTTTTGTGCAGGAGGCCATGCTATCCTGGATCCGGGACAGGTATGGCGACGAGCTTCTCGACGCGTACGAGCGACGGCAACTGACCGAGGGCTCATTCGAGAGGAAGCCCGCCTTCTGAAAAAGCCCCCATGCCCAATTAATGCCCACCACGCCCAACACATCCTGCCCACACTTGTCGCGCTTGCTGGGAGAGCCAAGTGCACTTCGTCTCCGAGAAGACGCCCGCGGCGCTGTCGAGCTCGTCTGGTTGATCTTCGTCGCGGTTCTGTAGACGCCGCTGCCCGGCGCCACCTACGAAACTACGTGTCTATGCGATTTGCCCAAATAAAGGCCCTCCGGGCCCCTTAGCTGCTCCCAGCCGTATATCTTGGTTGCAAGCGTCCATTGAGTATCACATTCTATTGCATGCTGTGGCACTCCGCACACCGGAGGAGGCGTCCGATGTCAATCACATGTACGTGTATACGCGTGTGTTTCCCGCCATGCGTCGACTCCTCCACTCTTTTGCCCATTATCGTTTCCCTCCAAGTTTTCTTTCTTTCTAGCGATAATGATACTTGCATTAGGATCACTGAGACAGGCGCATTATGTAAATACACAGTACGAGCACTAAAACTAGCGCACAAATCAGTCACAAATGCGACACAGGCAGTGTACTGGAATGATGTCAGATAAGGATACGCGCCTCCTATTCCGAAAAACGTCGTTCACGACTGCGTTATTTTGTATGGTACATTCAACGTGGGAACTGAGCTGCTCCGTAAGCGTGGAGTTCCGCAACGCAAAAACTTGACGGTTTCCTTAAGTACTTAAAAGATGGTATTGTGTGAGATGGCGACATACTGTATAACGACCAAGTATGTGTCAGACAACAATAGCGTGTGCAACGGGAAACTTAAGTTAATACGTCAACATCAATAAATTGTTGTAGCCCAAGGTAAAGCCTTTTTCCTTGAATTATTTGCTTCTTGCTTAAGCTGTCACCCGTTTGTCCTTTTTCTCGCCGCTTGTCGCTACTATTCCATTCCGCGCAAGGTGTCACACACAGCTCGCGGCACGTGCGATTCCTTTCTCTTCCCCGGTAGCTCACGCATTGAACACTCTTCGTTACCGCTTGGCTGCATGAACACCTCAGATGCCAAGGCAGCAGCACGGCAGACTCACCGCAAAGACACTGCGATGACAGCCCAGGATATATAACAACGATAACACGTCTATAACTGATGGTAGGAGATGTGTGCCCGATAATCTCTGAGCAAACTTCTCTGACATCATTCATTGGATATGGCAGTGTTTTTAATTTTTGGGCTCAGAAACGCGACACTAAATACATAATGATAGCTCACACCACCGCAGTGTTCTAGTGGCTAAGTTACCCGGCTGCTCACTTGCAGGTCGCGGGATCAAATCCCGGCAGCGGCGGCTGCATTTCCGATGAAGGCGGAAATGGTGCCGGCCCGTGTGCTCAGATTTGTTTGCACGTTAAATAACCACAGGTGGTTCCGTTAAAGAACCCTGGAGCCCTCCGCTACGGCGTCTCTCATAATCATATGGTGGTTTTGGGACGTTAAACCCTACACATAAATAAAGCATAATAATTGCACTACAGTGGCGACTGCGAGCATGGTCGCAGAATTTGATAATCTGATCTGCAGCGGAAGCGCGTCGGCACATGACAGTAGCGGCATCGCACTCTTCAGCGTTATCTCTTGTGCTCACATAAGCTTGGAATGCAGACGTGACGTGTCGTGAAGGCAATAGATAAGGACCGTGGACAACAATAGAACATGTTCCCATATATTAAGCCACAGTTCCTGCCTTCTGTTAACCCATTTATAAACTTTTTTCGAGCAAAACTCGGTCACGAAATATGGACCCAAGCACGTGTTCCAACATGCCACCGCTGTACTGGTGGTGCAAAATAAACGCTAGAAGGTAACGCACTTTCTATGAAGTCTCCGTCGAAATATCTCGTGATAGCCGAATAAAAGCTATCTCTAGGACATCACGTTAAACTGCCATCAAGTACTGTAAAACGGAAATCCTGACTTTGCGGAAGTTTAGTGGCAGCCCTCCCAGATAGTCGATGTATTTCGGTAGCCACGAGATACGCTTTCAATTGGACCGTTCTTGACTCCAATGCGCACTAGAAAGATCAAAGACAGCATCTGGATGCCGTCCGACTACAACGTTTCGAGGAAGGCCGCAACACATTCAGGCGCACAGAGTACAAGCGCGTGATAGAGGGCGTCACCGGCAACAAAGAGCTCAGTGTTCACCGCAAGGCACCATCGCATGACGACAAAACCGCAGGTGAGGTCCGCCGTTGTGGTGTAGTGATTTCGGTGCTAGGCTCGAAGTTGCTGAAGCTGCCGAACTGCGGGTCCAATAATGGCCGCGAAAGCTGCATATTCGACGGAGGTGAAAATGTTGATTGATATGTGAAATTTAACGTCCCAAAGCCACCATATCATTACGAGAGACGCCGTATAGTGTTGGACTCCGGAAATTTCGACCACCTGAGGTTCTTTAACGTGCACCCAAATCAGAGCACACGCGTCTAATGCAGTTTCGCCTCCATCGAAAATGCAGCCGCCGCAGCCGGGACTTAATTCCACGATCGCGGGTCAGCAGCTATGGTTCCTTAGCTATGAGACCACCGCGGTGGGGCGAGGCGAAAGTGTTACGGTACCATGTATTTAGATATAGGTGCACGTTAAGGCAACTCGGGTGGTCGAAATTTTCGGGACCTTCCCCTACGGTTGCCCTCGTAATAAAATCGTGGTTCTGGGACTTTAAAAAGTTATATGTAAAGCATTATCTTTCTAGGCTAGTAGCAGTAAAAAATAAATAACCCCTGGCTGCTTGACTAGCTCTTCACCATTACTGCGCTCTCTTGATTGGAGCCAAACTATGTGGTGGATGAGCTGGCGTTCTAGTATGCAGGGCCAAAGCACGGTGGTCAAGGTGGGTCGCCTGCAATATACAAAGGCAAAGGCTTTTGGACGCGTGGCTCGAAGTCCGGAAAAACTGTGACATGGGACGCCACATAGTGCAGAGCGCTGCTTCCAACCGAGGTTGCAATGGTTAAGAACAGGACAATCGAAAGGGCTTCATAATTCGCATCGAGAGCGCTATGCCCACAATTACATTGAAAATTGAATGTCCGACAAGCTGCTTCTGTCATTTCATGGAATTACGTATGTACCGTCACTCGGGAATACTGATCGCTCGGATTTCGTCATCAGTGATAAACGATCCTGAGAGTTTTAATTGCGGGGACAACGCGGCGTTTATGTCGAGGTAGCACCACGTGCTGCGCTGTGGTGGTGCACAAGGCCCAGTTGAGTGGTTTGAAGCAGCCCGTGCCACCAAACAGCGGTACCGGAGTGGTTGTATACAGCTTCCTCGAATGACGGGACGCATAAGTTGTCAGCGACGTCCAGGAGCCGGGCAGCAGCAATCAGCCAAAGTGGGTGAGAGCATCTGTAGAGAGATTCAGTGCGCGTGGTCCCCACAAAATTAAATACCGCAGTTTATGATTGAATCACAGTCACTACGATTTTTCAGCGGGTTCATGCTGTGTCATTTTTCAAGAGCGGAGCTGCTGAATCTTGAGTTTGGTCCGTAGTTGTTCACATAGAACTCGGTAGGTATGTGCTACAGAAAGCGGGTATGGGCCAAGCAGAGTAGCGTATGTATAGTATAGCAAGAGTATGCGAAAGGGAAGTCAAGGTGAGAAGGACTAATGAAGTTAGGAGGAGAGAGAGGAGGAAGTTAGATGGCACAACATAGCACAACCACAACATAGCAAGTGATTGGAAAGAGAAGGGGTTTTGAGGTGGAGGAATGTGACAGTTAGGTTCGAACCATAACTCGAACGAAGAAGAGAGGCCAATATAGAATGAGATAAAGAAAGAATATGAGGATGTAGATAAATACAGAGTGACATGAGTGAGAGACGAAGAAATAACTGAATCTGTGTTCGCCAGAGGGCGGCGCTTGCTTGGCCAGCTTAGAGTCTAGGCCAGCTTCACCGTTTACGCAGATTGCGTAGGCTTGGAACCGGGATTTTTGTTTATTGTCACAGAGAGGCTGTTACTTCCAGTAGTCGGAAGAAAACTCAAACAAAATGCGTAAAGAGAAGTCCACTATTGAAAAGGTGGGAGTCACTTCATTATTCTGAAGCAAATGGTAGTTGACATCAACTATTATTACTTAAATCTCTACGATTCTGATTTTAAATGCGAAGCATTTCTTAGCGAACTTCAGCGACTTTGAGCGTATCTATCTATCTATCTATCTATCTATCTATCTATCTATCTATCTATCTATCTATCTATCTATCTATCTATCTATCTATCTATCTATCTATCTATCTATCTATCTATCTATCTATCTATCTATCTATCTATCTATCTATCTATCTATCTATCTATCTATCTATCTATCTATCTCTAGCCGTTTACGGCTTTTAGCTCTCCTGGCCGTTTCGATAATAATATCGATACCAAATTTTTTATGGCATAACATAACTGTATGAGGAACATATTTGGCTAGTCATAACTTGAAAACCATGACATGTATTTCATGAATGTCATGAGTTACATTTCATGGTCCAGCAGTGGTTTCGTTCACATGGTATGTTCCTAAGCTAGTATGGTATGAGATGATTGCCTGGCGAACACAAGCGACAAACCATAACATGAAAATCATGACATCCGTGTCATGTAACAACATGACTACATGCCCCGCTCATGATGCGCAAACGGCTGTTTCGCTAGCTTCACAAGTATCCAACTCAGTATTACAGTACGCGAATGGATAACGAAGGTATGTGACTGGTGCAAACATGATAATCATGAGATGCGTGTCATATAACAACATGACTACATGCCACGCTCATGATGCGATGGCGGCCGTTTCGCTAGCTTCACTTATATCAAATTTGGTATTACGGGTCGTGAATAGATGACAAAGGTATGATACTGATGCAAACATGATAATCACGATATGCGTGTCATGTAACAACATGACTAAATGCCACACTGTTGATGCGCTCACGGCCGTTTCGCTAGCTTCACATATGCCAAATTTCGAATTACGTGACGCCAGTGGATGTGACTGGTGCAAACATGATAATCATGAGATGCGTGTCATGTGAAAACATGATTAAATACTAAAGTCAAGGCGTCAATGCATTTCGACATGACGCGGTGCGCGTGCTCGCCGGCGTTCATTTCGTCGCGTCACGCCGGAGTTGCCACGCCAGGCGCCGGTTCTGCCATGTACCCGCAGGTGCGCGCCACGCTGCGTTGCTTTGGCACAAGCGCGTTTCAGTGCATCCGGAGTCCCTCCATCACAA